CCCGAAAATAGCATTTAACCATCAGCCTGTGTGGGTGTTCTCCATTCCAACCCAACTAAAGTGGGACCTGGTAATTGTAGAGGAAAGAAAATGAGTGGAGTATTTTCTAAAATAAGCAGCATATTTTCCATTATGTAAAGGAGAAAAATTAGCTTTCAGAAAACCATACCTCGGTTTTATGGACTGTTCTCTGGCTTCTTTCATAACTAGATGGGAGACTTAGGGAAGCAGAGGTACTTGTTCTTTAGAAGGTCCATCAACCTTTGCTCAATTTTTCCTTCAGATCCTACAGACCATTCAAGGAGACTTTGCATGTAAACCTGGAAAAGCAGTAGTAGCATAATGGCCTCAAGGGATGGGCTGGGGATAGCCTCACAGGGAGCAGAAGTCCTAGTAAGAGAAGGGCTGGATTGAGGTAGCAGTAGGATGACAGGGATGTATTGCCCTTTGTTTCTCTGTAGGGGAAAACACATTCATGCATTAAAAGTCACCAAGTCAGACATGATTGAAGAGCTACTTCCCCTTTCCCTGGGTTTGCCTTTTCTTTCCTGCATAGCCAGATGACAGTACTAACTGTCATTATTGTTTCATTTCTTTGCTTGTTTACTAGCCATCTCCCACAAGGAAGGGGCTGACATCAGTCTTCGGCTCCAGAGCCTGGTGCAGCTCTCTGTGTATTGAAAGCGGGCAGAACCAGGGACAGCGTGGTGGCATGACATCTTCACTGGGGCATGACCCTTTTGTGTAGAGTACAAGCTGCCCATGAGCCTTCTCCCCGGTGGCTCTTTGGGGTTCAGCCCTGATGGGACAGGCTGGATGACCTCCGTTACCCATTGGAAGGACATGCACATGGCAGTGGCATAGATTGCTCATAGGTAAAGCCCCCGGTCCCGGGATCCCAGGTCATCTGGAGAGAGATCCCTTCATGACCCCATCCCACACAGGGTGTCCGAGCCCCTACCCTCTGTCCATGGCTGGGAAGCAGCAGGTCGTTCTCAGGTCATAAGTCAGTTTGGCATGGGTGAGGGAGATAGCTGATGACAGGTGGTCTGCAGTTTCTTCTATTCTGCCTTCTTGTCTCCAATGTACAGCAGCGTATGTTTAACCTTCTCTGTGGAGGTCTTGTCCATTGAGACCTTCATCTTCTCTCTCCCATTCTAATGGACATGTTTTTCTTTGTCTAGTGTCTCAGAGGAATAAACCAGCCAGGCAAGCAGATCTCCTTTGAAGCTTAGAGTCTTGTTTCTGTTTTAGCATGAGTACAAGTGAGGGGGAAGGTGGAAGGGGAAGATGGACGAGAATAACCCCATGACTACTAGTCATATTAGGGTCTCCGCATTATACCTCACTCTCCCTGGGAGTTCAGGGGCCTCTGAATGTGAAGTGACAAACTCCTCTGCAGTGAATTATTTGCTGTTTGTGTTGCAGGAGTACTTGGTTCAAACACTGTCTAAGCTCCCACTCAGTGGCAGGTTCTGTGAACCTCTGTAGGCTAGGTGCATGTTTGCTTTCCTTTCCTTTAAAGTTGGAAGGATGTTTAGAAGTCATCTAGCCTCACGCCCTTGCTAGACAGATGCAGTGCTGAGGCCCTGGAAGGTAAAGTGATGAGTCAAGGCCTCAGGGTTGGTGTGGAGTTTGACTCTGCCCCGCAGCTTCTGGGCTTGGGAAATATTTATAATAACCACCACATCCAGTCCTGAGGGTTTGCCACATGCTGGTGCTGCACAAAGTGCTCTGTGCCTGCCCTCATTTAATTCAGAGAGCAGGTGCCATTGTCAGTGTTACTACTGTCTCTTTTTACACATGAAGAAATAAGGCTTAGAATAGATGCTTGCCCAAAATCAGATGCATAGTATGTTGCAGAGCTGACAGGGCCTCTGGCTCCATGTGAAGGTCATGTTCTCTTCTGCTTTGTAGAGTGTACAGGAGCAAATAGAGCTTATGAGAGGCAGCTGGTTCTACACCTTCCCTCTAAATGTAGGGAGGGACTGGCCTTCCTTCCTTCCTTTCATTTTTATGTCGTGTGTGTGTGTGTGTGTGTGTATATATGACTTTATATCTATAATAAAATTTACCATTTTAACTGTTTTTAAGTATACAGTTCAGCAGTATTAAATAATTCACATTATTGTGCAACCATCACCACCATCCCTACCATCCCTCTCTAGAACTTTATTCTGATCTTTCCAGTGTGAAACTCTGTATGCATTAAATACTAATTCCCTTTCCCTCCTCCCCCCACATCAGCCCCTGGCAGCCATTGCCTACTTTCCATCCCTATGAGTTTTACTACTCTAGATACTTGTCCTTTTGTGAGTAGCTTATCTTACCATACGATCCTCAAGGTTCATTCATGTTGTAGCATGTCAGAATTTTCTTTCTTTTTAAGGCTAAATAATGCCCCATTGTATGTGTAGAGCACATTTTATCAATTGGCTGCTTCCACTTTGTATTAGTCTACTAAAACTGCATTAGGGCTGCCATAACACAATACCACAGACTGAGTGGCTTAAGAGACAAACATTTATTTTTTCACAGTTCTGAACATTCAAGAACAAGGTGCCGGTAGAGTAGGTTTCTCCTGAGACCTCACTCTTTGGTTTGTGGATGGCTGCCTTCTTAATGTATCCTAATATGACCTTTCTTCTGTGTGTGTGCATCCCTGATGTGGGTGTATGTGTGTGTGTCTGTCCCTCTAAGGACATTAGTCATATTGAACTCTTATGACTTCATTTAACCTTAATTTCCTCTTTAAAGGGCACATCTACAAATAGTTGCTTAGGGGTTAGAGCTTCAATGTATTAATTTAGGAGAAACCATATCTCAGTCTATTGTGAATGTTGCTATAAATATCAGTATACAGATGTCTCTTTGAGCCCCTGCTTTTAATAATTTTGGGCTATATAGCCAGCAGTGGAATTGGCAGATTTTTTGGTAGTTTTATTTTTAATGTTTCTAGGAACTGCCATAGTGTGTGTGTGTGTGTGTGTGTGTGTGTGTGTTTGGTAGCAGCTATACCCTTTTATATTCTCATTGCATTATTTCTTAATTTTGTAAGGTTTTGCTCTTTTGAGAGGTCACTTTGATTTCCAAGGCCCTCTAGTAGGAAGCTAGCCTGGAATTATTCTTTTTGCCTCTCAGATATTTGGTTACTGAATCTTTCCAGAAATTTGGTGCCCTTGCTCCTTCTGCACCTTCTGTCAGCAACCTTGGGCTCTTGCTTCCATACTTACCTGCTGGGAAAACATCCCAGAAAGGAGGAGGAAGCAGTGAAAATGGCCTGGTCTCAGGTAGGTGCTTCATCCAAGCTGCAGGCTTTCAGGCAGCAGCCCCTGAGCACGGAGGAGGTTTGTGCCGGATCTCGCCCCATCTCTGGGCACACAGAGAAGGGCCCCTGAGCCTGCTTAGGCACCTGCCCCTTTCAAAAGTGGCCAAAAGACAGTACATTTAAGATGTTTCTTAATAAGCAACTTTAACACTGTTGCAGGTTCATATTGACTCACATCAATAGAAGGAATTAAGGCATGTATGGCAGTGGTGGGGGGTTGGTGTGTGGGGAAATGTTGGAGGTAGGTATTTATGTGAGGCAAGATATAAGAGTGTGAGGGTTGGTGGGGGTGAGTGGGTATGTGAAATACGGTGCAAGAGCGGGAGTTGGATATGGGAGTGTGTGTGTATATGTGTAGAATAGGGGACCAACGGGATGCTTGTGAGAAAGGAGTATGTATACATAGTGGAGGGGAGGTATTGGGGTTACAGTATGTGTGTGAAGTGGAGTGTGGAAATATGGGGGTTAGGCATGAGGGCATGGAGGATGGAGGGAAAGGGATGGGTGTGTGCATGGAGCGGGGTATGAGGGTGTGGCAGTTGATATGAGGGTGTGTGGGCAATAGGATATATGGAGGGTAGGGTGTGAGTAGGAGAGTGTGCGTGTGTGTTGGAGGGGCATAGTAGGGGAAGGACCAGTGGCTCCACTCCAGGTAGCTGCCCTGCCAGGAGCCTGGTGGGTGGAGGAGCTGCTGAGGCCTGCAGAGTTTCCCAGCTGTGGGGGAGTGGTGCCTTGCCGGGGACTCAGGCGTGACTCACTTTCACCTGGTTGGGGAATTAATTTGCTGGGCATCTGCATCATGGCAGGATATGTGCGTCAGTCTGTATTACTTTGTTCTTATTAAGAACCATGGGAGAAATTTAAAATGAGGAATGGAGGGGGTGGGGTGCGGTCGTGCTGGGAGCTATGAAAGATAAATTGTTTCTCCCTCAGTGGTTGGGTCACACTAAGTGACCAAGGTCATTTCCTTCTCTCCCTCTACACTATTCTTGATAAAAGGCAGTTGCAAACATTTCATGTGTGAGAAATAACTTCAGAAGACACCCCCCACACACATCCACACACAGAAATGCACACACACAGGCACATACCTCCCACATACAAATGTAGATAAGGGAGCCCCAAAGCACCTCCCAGATGCATGGTGGCCCCTGCAGCAGTAACTCTTTGTGCACTGCGGTCTGCTGCAGTCTTTGCAGTGGAGGGACGCTGGCTCTTGTGAATGGTCGCCTGGGAGGGGCCTAATGTCATCTGCTCCTGATGTCAGCACAATGAATGAAACTCTTGCAAAGCGTAAAGCCTCAAGCACCCGGGAAGCAGAAACCTTCTCAGATTGGTTCCCTGGCTGCAGCATCTCTTGCTGACGAAATCACCAGTCCCATGTGTCACAGACAATCCATATACGTTAGGATTTAAATGAGGCAGAAACTGAGGCTGCATGTGGACTATCGCACAGCTGACTCTAGCACAACCATCTCTGGCTGAAGCAGCTGTGGGCACGACCCTCTTCCTGCCAGGTGCTGGAGAAAGGGGTTTGCAGGACCTGCAGACCCACTGTTGTGTGTTAGCCATCTCATCAGCTAGCCCGATGTTCTGCTTTTGCTGGCAGAATTCCTTGCTGAAGCTCCAAGCCCTTGAGACTGATCTGTGCTCTGCATTTTTGACAAACCAGGAAGAAGCTGTTCAGGTGCATGGAGGCAAGGACCCAGCCCCAGTGTCCACCCAGAGTGTGCCAGCCGAAGGGGAAGATGCTGCAGGTAAGAGGCAGGATCGGGGGAGCTTCTCATTTGTGCTCTGAAGATAGTTTAGCCTCTTGCTGTTTCATCCTAAACTGGGCCCCTGGTGGGAAACAGTGCTTGGTGCAACATGAAAGCTGAAGAGTTGCTCGAGTTACACCCCAGGAGCTGAGAGGGAGCAGGAGGAGTTAAGATGTGCTATGCCATAGAGCCTTCTCTCCAGGGCAGGCCAAGAGTCCAAGGTATATAAATGGGTGTCCCGTGGAAAGCACCCATCACTACTCCTAGTCCTCATTTTCCTATGTGGTACCCTCTGGCAAACAAGAGGTATACTTGTATTGTATTGCTGGACTTTGATAATCTGTGCTTAAAACTCCTGAGTTTTGAAACTCATGATATGTTTGAAGTATTGAGGGATGGGGGAGATTCAACACTGCTACTTCATTTCTTTTCCACTGCTCATAAGATGCTCTATCAACACAGGGAAAGTAGAGGGGAGTAGTATAGCTCATTCTGAGCCCGTATTGCCCTGCTCTGTCTCGTTGTTTTTTAGCTTTAATTTCTGTATTGAAAAGTCTCAAAATTGAGTCTTATTTGTCTTAGTTTCTCTAGTTTTAATCCAGGGGATGATTGGTTAGCTAGCAAGCAGAAGGGAAATTAATGCTACCAGGAAGACCCAGACAGGAAAGAAGCACTGATTTACATGAGTAGAAATGAGAGCACAGATTACTTTTTTTTTTTTTTTACACAAATGGGTCAGAAGTCTGCAGACTGCTTTCTGGATAGATGGTAGAAACAGGCTTATTGAGCTTGCTTCCTGAGATGTTCCTTATCTCCAGGAACTGAAGCAAGAGATTTACAAAGTAATCTGTTTTAGTACCATTAGTGATAGTACATTTAAGACATTACTGTTAAAAACAGACCCACATGGTATAAGCAGGCAAAATACTTATCTCCAGTTTTTGAATGCTTGTGAGTAATAGTGGTCATAGCTACTGGTGGTAGCTACCATTATCATTGAAGACTTTCTCTGATCCAGGCACTGGTCTGAGCATTTTATATCTATTATGTTCAATTCTTACACTGACCTGTGAAGTAATGCTATTCATAGTAAGGGCATTGAGGCCTAGTGTAACCCTGCTAGTAAGTGGGAAATCTGTTCCCCACGATGCAGGTGGCCAGCTGACAGTCCTTGTTGCCTGGTGAGCTCCCTTGCTCTGTTGGCCATTGTGTTTGTATGAGACAGGAGCCAAGTAAAGCTGGACAGGAGCCAACATCAATCCAATTAGGGATTGAAGTCAGATTATCAGATAATGCTTGTCTTCTGCCACCAACCCCAACAAACAACGTACAAAACCTATAGAGAAGACTCAAAGCCAAATACAAATTAACTTTTGAGTTATCTGATGTTTTGTATACTACACAAGTATCTGGAAAAGAGTGTTTAAATAAGATACAGATATATGTATATTTTTAATTGTGACTTTAGTGTATGTGTACCTGTCTTATTTTATTGAAAAGTCCAGAATTGTTTTTGTATTTTCTCATTCTAGATGGACAGTATTGTGAACAAGCTTGCTAACACTCCCTGTAAAGAAGTTTATGTAGGAATTGCTCGTGCAAAGAATTGTCAATATATTCCGTGTTAGGTGTCAAATGGCAGACATGGGCAGAAGGCTCCTTACAAAGGAGGCTTGTGGGTTGGATGCTGGATTTTCCAAAATGTGGGTGAATCTGAGATGTTTCAGAGCTTCTCCAAGAGTCTGTGAAAAAGGGAGATTCTGTCTGTCTCAGTATCTGTCTCAGTCTCTGTCTCTCTGTGCGCACATTCGCATGTGCAGGAGGCGGCAACAGCTCTTGCACGTTTTCAAAGATGAAACCCATCCTGGTGTTTTTCATCTTTGTAGAGCTTGTGCCAGCAGTTTTTAATTCAGGGTCTGTGGTCGGGTGTCTGGAGTGATCTTTAACACCTTGGAACTCTACTTTATTGTGCGTGTATGTAAATTCCCAATGAGAGTGTGATTGCATAAGATTAGCACAGGTGGTCGTAAGTCTATGAAAGATTATAGTAAATCAGAATTTTCTCTTACAGTCTAGCATCTAGTCCTGAGATTAAATGTATATAAACATTGAATTGATAACTGTTAATGTCAATAGTTAGTAACAAAGACAAAATCTGATTAATTTTTACAGGAATATCTGGCTATAATATGCTACCAATTAGTTATTAAAAGCGGACTTTCATAAATATAAATTGATGTTGCTTTCACGGATTTCAGACTTAGTTTAGACTTGATTAGGGCATGACTTAAGTGAAGTTTAACTTTTCCATTGGGCATCTGAAATGATGATCTGAGCCAAGTATTATCTCTGTGTCTTGAGATCAAAATATTGACTTATAATTTGGATTTATGGGTTACAAAGGTCAGTCTCACCTAGTAAAAGACCTGAAATGCTCCCTGTTCTAGAAATCCACTTAAAAACTACACTTGCAGTAAGAGCACATGCCATGGCAGCCCTGGAGGGCACTGTGCTCTAAATAGTGTTCCTGAACCTTCCTGCACATCACAAGTACCAGGAAGCTTTTCAAACATGGGCATTCTCAGTCCTCATCTCTGGACAGTAGGGGGTGCAATCCTGGAATCTTTATGTTTCTAAACTTGCTAGCTAATATTGGGAAGCACTATTCAAGTGACAGTGTTTTGAATCAGGAGAGAGGAGTTCAGGTTCTCTCAGGTTTTCTTTGACTCTGCTTCACCTTGGTGTCACCAATAAAAAGAGACTTCCAGAACACAAGGACTTATAACTCAGGCTCTGTGACCAATTGGCTCAGTCCATTTACACCAGGAAGAGAGAGGAACTCAAGTACCCAAGTCTGCAGGCCAGAAATTGATGGGATGCAGCCTGGATAAAGGATGGGGACAGGGACAGATTTCAGGGGTATAGAGCCTTTTAAAGGAAATTGAAAGAAAGGAAACCGGCTGAAAGGCAGCTTTGGGACTGTCCATGGGGTAACCGAGTACCCTGATTCTCCCAGCACTGTTCCTGTTTTAGCACTTGAAGTTCCACATGCTGGGAAATCCTCAGTCCCAGGCAATCTGGGCAGCTAGTCACCCACCTGTAGGTTGCAAATTGCATACAACACTTCGGCTCAAAATTCCTCTAAATGAACAAACAGCCTCTTACAGCTGATGCAAATGTTTCCTCTGTGGCATTTGTAAGCATCTATTCTGGTGTTGTGAATGGAAAATGAAATGAGGATTGTCTTTTTAACTGCTTGTCATCTTCAAAGTGTACATAGGGACTGTTTGGCATTTCATATGACTAAGCATAGTAATGCCTGTTCTGTCTGACCACAGGTGATTGATGGCACAGAGTTTGTAGCAAAAGCTGTCACTGTAGATAACTGAAGGCTTATTACTAGAAATAATAATTCCTCAGAAGTACCTAATTAGTACTTTTATTCTAAAATCTTCATTTTTCAAGTTGAACTTTCCATTTGGGCAAGAGCTTTGTTACTAATGTTGATTATTAGGGAACACTAATGTAGTGTACAGCCTGTAATTACTCACTTGGTCTGTAGGTGTCTCCTAATGTAGAAGTTGAGGCAAAACAGAGTCAAAGAGGATCTTCTTTCTCACATTTTTAGACATTGTCCACTTGACAAGAAGTTCCCAATTAATTGGAAGTACTTACTAAACTTACAGATGTCTGGGCTTCCAATCTTAAAATGCAAAATTAAAATATAAAGATGAGGCCTAAGCATTTTTAGGTTTGAAATACTCCCCTGGTGATTCTCAGGTGCAGGGAGATTCAGAAACACTGTCTAGAACATAGTATTCCTCGAAGGGTGCCATGAAATGTGTTCTTGCCACAGGTGCAGCTTATGATTGGACTTCTGGAACAAGGGGGTGTCTCAGGCATCCCACATGATTTGGTGCTTTATTCTGTCTGGCAGCAGCCTCAGACAGTCTTTGAAAGTCAGTTAGAGGTGGTCTCTAATTCTTCAACCTCAGAAGTGCACTGAATTTCAAATATCTTTTAGAAATTTTTTTCATTTCAAGTCTATGTGTGTATTATTTCTAAATCTTTCTTAAACCTTTTTATACTTTCAGTATGCAACACCAGTTGCTTTAACTAAAAAGTGGCTCCTACTGTGAAAAATACCTCTCCTTTTTGTCCTAAATTGGTTCCTTTGAAAGCAGTGATTTTCAAAAAACCAACCAGGTTGACTTTACCCACCTTGGGGATATCGAGCAATATCTAGATAAACTTGGAAGGTGAGTGGTGCTGGCATCTAGTGGGCAGAGATCAAGGGTGCTACTGAACATCCTACAAGGCCCAGGCGAGTCCCTGGGTTCTGCCGCACTGTCTCAGTGGAGAAGCCTTCAGACCATTATCTGATCCAAAATGTCAATAGCTTCAAGGTTGAGGAGCCTTACTTTAAAAGACTTTAAATAACATCAGCATTAGCTCACAATGACCTCTTCATTTGCGCCTGGCCTTGTCACGTGGGTTTTCCCATTTTATCTTCAAAACAATTCTATGAGGTAGGTGGCATTATTATCCCCGGATGAAAGATGAGCAAGTAAACTTGAAGGGTTAATGTAACCTGTTGGAGGTGTGGAGGTGTGGAGGTGGGAGGAAAGGCGAGGAGTCGGGGTTTCCCCATTTGGACTCCATAGTCCGCGCGCTTCACACAATGGTATTTGCCATTCAGCCTAAAAGCGGAGTCCCCATAGTCCCAATATTCTAGAGTTTGACATTAAGCCCATAGTCAACCTGTACGTTCTCTACACAGCTAATGTATTTTGGAAGTCTTTTTTCTTTATCCATCCCTGGTTTTGTTGTGTCAGACTGGAGAGACCTAGATTTGTAGCTGATTAAGCTGTCGCAGCCCCTCTGTTCTGTAGTCATTTCAGCTCCTCTGATCTAAGCCATCTCTAGGCCTGGTGCCTTTCTTGGTGTGTGTTTACCTGACCTGCACAATGTATTCCAGGTGGAGTCAAATAGAGTATTAT